AAATTACCAGGGAAAGTAAAGAAAGCGGTAAAAGATGTCAATAAAAGCTAAAATCCAGATTGCCAGAAATTCCATGATCGACGTCCTCCAGTAGACTTGTACAAGAAATTTCTGATACCCCCGAAAATCCCTTTCCTTCTTCACATTTTGTTTTATTTATAACCTTGCTCAACATAACCACCTAAGAACGGTTTAGAAACCGCTACCCCATGTTCCCATGTGCAAAGATAACTGTTTCCCTCAATTTCGACCCCAAACATTGAATACTTGAACTGCCTTTGACTTCCCTCAAACTTAACTTAACACTCGATACTTATTATCGATTTTTTACTCCCTGTCATGTCATCGAATTTCTTCCATCCACTTCTCGATTCATATATCGATTTTTTCCCACCATCACATGGTCATCGAATTTCGTCCATCTACTTTTCGATTCATATATCGATTTTTCCCACCAACACATGGTCATCAAATTTCTTCCATCCACTTTTCGATTGATATATCGATTTTTCCCCCAACATGGTTATCGAATTCCTTCCATCCACTTTTCGATTGATATATCGATTTTTCCCACCAACAAAATGCCCCCTTGAAAGAATAAAACATTGTGCAAATTTTGTATTCTTTCAAAAAATATCTACCTCAACTCTTAAATGTTTTTAAGCCATACAAAGCTATTTTTATTATCACATGTCAAATCAAGCCATTCCCCTCATTAATATTACTTAATTATCCAAAAACACGTCTTTTCTCGAAAGATATGTGTCATGTCTCCATGTAATTTCCTTCCATGTTTATACAACATTTGATGAGGCAGTTGACATTTTGAATACTCCAAAACCTTCAGGAAAATTTTCCTGGTCCTATATGGTTCATCCAACTATAGCTAACTTCAATTTTCGAGAGTATCCTCCCCGCATCATCCAAAATGCCTTTGAGTTTCAATTTAAAAGGGGTTCGATTATCGTCTCGACACCCTCAGCAAAAGAACTCCGATAGAACCAATTACAGAACTTATTTAAAGTTCCTACTGACTCGATTTTATTTTGACTCATCTTTAGCTCCCTTCATTACATATCATGGAAAAATAAGTAATAAGCTTCGAGGACCATCATGGTTCAAATCCAGGTTCCCAGCTCCTACCCCGGGTTTACAATCAGAACTGATCGATGTATGGAGCAATTATTTAACTCAAGATGTCTTGGTATCAGGCTTTCAATTAAAGGATATTAAGTTCATCATTTATTATCCTCAACTTTTCTCGAGACAATTTGGTTTAAGTCAAACTTTACCGTTTTTCCAAATCGAAAATTTCCTAGGACTCAAGCCCAATGGATCGAATGTGGGAATAAAGCTTACCAAATCATTACCACAAGACCCATTTCATTTTTTACCCTTATGCTTTCGAATCGAATTACTTATCTACTCATGACTTTTTCAAATGGTGGAATGATTGGTTTTCAAGAATTCACTCTGACTTCGATATAATCCAATTGAATTTGACTGAGCATCCTTCTCTCATTGTGCAGGATAAATCGAAGATTAAGAAAGGTAAATGCTCCCACTATCTCCAAATATCTCGATTTGAAAACTTTTATCGAGAATGTTACAACCCACTTAAACTAGATTTCTCCAAAACCCAAAGACAAAGAAATTTCGATATCAAAACTATCATACTACCCTTACCTAAACACTCCCGAACATTCCCTATCGAATCAACTAATATCTCCCTCAGTCCAAGAAGAAACACCACCTATCGAACAGACTTCGACTTCATTGCCTCGACAGAATGATCATATTCCTGAAGACTTACCAGAATATCGAACTACTATTGAAGAAGATCCATTTTCGATTCTCGATATTCTATTGTCTGAATATGTCATTCCCTCAAGTCATTCAAATCGATACTTATTATCGATTTGGAAGAATGTGTATAATCAAATATTGATCAGCATTTCGATTTCTCCTTATTAAGGAGAAATCGAAATGCTGATCAATATCTGCATATGAGGAATGATGCTCACATAAATTTAAATGGTGGGTTTGAGAATGTGTATAATCAGAATAACATGCAGAACAATCATTTGTTGGGTCAAAGGATGAATCCCCAAGGATTGGAATTAAGGCCACTTAACCAATCATACTTTGTTTCTCCTTTTCCAAATACGATTCTCGAGACTGAATTACATCGAGGATATAAAGTTCCTAAGTTCACAAAATTTGCTGGAGAAATAGGTGAATCCACTATAGAGCATGTGACACGATATCAAATCAAATGTGGAGACATAACTATGAATGAGGAATTAAAAAATGAAATAATTTCCTAGTTCATTAACAAAGAATGCCTTCACTTGGTTTACCACTTTACCACCTAACTCGATATATAACTGGCTGTAGTTGAAAAGAAATTTTCATGAAGAATTTTTTAGGGAAGAAACTCAAGTAAGTCTCATCGACTTAATGAATATAAAAGGTATAATCATGAGAGTATAGATGATTATTTGAATAGATTTAGACAAATGAAATCAAGATGTTTCACTCAGATTCCCGAATTTGAATTAGTGAGAATGACCTCTGCTGGTTTATAATTCTCGATTAGAAAGAAGTTGGTTAATTTACCGTTGAATGACATGACTCAATTAGCCGATAAAGTAAGAAGAGTGGAACAAATCGAATATGAGAAGGAAATATATAAGAAATTTGAGAAACCTATAAAGAAAGATAGGGTAGCATACATAAATGAAATATATGAAGAGAATCCTAAGACAGAGGTAGAAAATGAAATTTTTATTGATGAGAAAGTAAACATAGCAGAGCTCAAAGTGGGAGCTCCATATATTTGTAAATTGTTACAGAAAAATGAGGTAAAAATTTTCACCTCGTCATTTATTTACCTTTCTGTATTTCTTTCAAGTTATTTCAATCAACAGTTTCACATGATTATGTCCTTTTATTTTATCTTTATTTAGTTGCCTTATATGGATTTGCATGTCTCTAATTTCACAGTCTTTCATTTTATATCGTTTATACTTAATTTTACTTTTGTCGATTCTCATGTTCTCAAGTCTCTTAATAAAAAATACAAAAAAGAACTTTCATTTTTTAAGTTAATGAATATAATTTATTTATCCATTGTTGTTGAACAACCTTTCTTTCGATTGGATATAACTATTTATTTGAGTAGCATTGATGTCTATATGATTTTAAATTCGTTTTCCGCGTTTCGCACTTAAATTTATCGCTTCATACGTTTTGATTGAAAAACTTTGTTTGCTAGCCTAAATAAAAAGAACTTACGGTGGTTGAAAATTGGTTAAAACCTAGTCTTTGGGGAAATCGAAAGAAAACCAAATTTTCACCACTAACAGTTTCTCACCCCAGTCAAAGACACTTTAAACATGTATTTGATTTTCTTGTACTCTTGTAATAGAGTGATGAGAGGTTTAGTTTAAATTCTTCCTTTGGAGAATGTTGGTGCATTTGGGGTCAAAGGACATGAGAAAGTTGTCTATGTGTTGTTACATAGTGTTATTATCTAGTTGTCATTAGATAACAGTCGTGGTTTTTTCGAGTTTGGAGTTTCGTGATTTTTTTGATTTTGGAGTTTCTATATTATATTATTGTATTGATTGTTTTTCTCTTATTTCTCTATTAATAGGGTAATTCTCGAAGATAAAAACAATGATGTTCTTCATGACGTTTTTTTCCATCAAGCATTGGGGATGCTATTGTCATTTATATTTGTTCCTCTGATCTGGATTAATGATAAACAACAAAGCTTAAGTAGAGTTTATTGATGTAGAAAATAGACAAATTCATTACAAATCAAAAGAAAAAAAATTTATAACTTTTATTTTGAATCTTGATGAATTCTTTCTTGTTTCCAAACATACAAGTTTAAAAAATGTAGATTACTATGGAAGTTATACATGAAGGCACAAGTGTCACAAAAAAAACTAAAGAAGCACATTCTAACTTAAGAATATGAATTGTTTTGTATGCAACCGAGATCTCTATCAAGGATGTGTAGAAGAGATTTACACATATTCTTAATCATATATAAGTCTTGACAAGATGTTTGACTTTGAAATTGTAAGCAACGTAAATAGTATTGACTTTGAAATTGGGTCTAATTATGATCACTTCTTGAATGTTTTTAATGATTTACTAGATGAATCCAAGAAGATTGAAAGTTCAAATAATTGACTCAAAGTTATAAATAATTAGCTTGAGACTTAATCACCCCTGTAAGAAGAAATGAAGAATTCAAGAATTGATTATAAAACTTTAGAAATGATTTATAACTTTTTCTTGTAATTGTACTAGTTAAGTTGGCAAAGTCTTGTATGAATATGAAATTTTGAATGTCTTTCAAATTTAAGGTGAAATATCTTATAACCGGAAAAATTTACACAAGAAGAGGCCAACCTTGATGTTGTTTTTGAGTCACAAAAATGTCATAAAGAGGGTAAAAATTAGTTATACATAAGAAGAAAAGAAAAATATTTGAAAAATTTCTTTTAAGTATAGAAAACCTTCCAACATCTCATTTATTACATGTTTTTATTTTTTTGAAGAAGGTTATCTTGCTAGGTCTTATTACATAAAAAAGTATGGTATATTAAAGTGGGTAGATTTATTTGGAAGCCTAAAGTAATAAGTAAAACTACTAACCATCCCGAACCAAACTAATTCATGACCAAAATCTTGATTTTAATCTTATTTTATTGGTATGAGCAAAGAGTTGATATGATACATTGAGAATAGATGCTCTAAACATATGATTGGAGAGAAAAGTAAATTTGATTTACTTAAAATAAAGTTTGGTGGTTATATAACTTATGGAGATAACCTTGCAAAATACCTAGACTTGAAATACATAATCTATTAATTACTTTATATGCAATATATCAATCCCACAATTATTATTACACAATTTATGCATAATAAATATATTAAATTTGGATTCAACGTTGGTTGAGTTACAAATTGTTGTTAAGTTATAAAGGCTTATTAGCTATCCACCTTTCAAACATGGCGTAACATTCATCTGGCTTGTAATCAGCTGGCGTGTGTCCTGAACCCTGTAATTAAATTCAATATTATCAAATTTGGACAACCTCAAACGGTAAATATTTCACCACATCACGCAGTTTCCTTAAAAAAAAGTAGAAAAAAGAGTGGGTGAAATATCTAAATTGAATGTTCTTATCTCTCACCTTCACAGTTGCAAATGTCATTTGATTAGAGTATGTCCTTGTATATCTGCATAAAATGGAAGTTATTAACAAATATTTGAACAGATGCTATCTTAGGATGTTCTTGATAGGAAAAGTAAAACCCTAAATTGTCTTTTTAAAAGGCTAATATTTCATTCTTACCCTGCAACTTGGTCTTCTAAAAGCCATGACCTCCAATCTTCTACAATGGAGTAGTTTAGAGCTCTAATCCATGCTTGAGTTGATATTAAAGGAACAACTGCATCATGGTCCCCACTGTCAACAAAACACCGATTTTCATCAAAATTAGTCTGTTGTAACATCCTCAAGAAACTTTAAAAAGAAAAAACACTTCACCTATATATCAGAGAACGATATCCTTTAGTACTGAGATTTAAATGAAACTCAAAGCTACTAGATATGTCATGCTCAAAATCAGTAGTATCACAACGATACCACTTGCCTTTAGTTCCCTGCAGTACATTTACCAAGTTACATATAAGATTTTAATATGCTCAAGATTACCTTTATTATCTCAAATTTTTTTTACGTATTTTTTAATCTTTATAGGATAATCATTCTCCATTAAATGATGACGTTGAAGATGAAATATCACCTCATAATATATATATATATATATATATATATATATATATTATATATATATATATATACTCAAATATAAACAAATACAAACTATCTTTTATTTAAAAAAATGTTTATTTTAAACTTGGATACCATCTACAATAAATATTACTCAGGTTAATTTAAAAATTGTACTTCTTTATTTTATAAAATTAAGAACCTTGAAACATTGTATTTCTTTATTTTGTAAAATCAAGAACCTTAAATGAATTTAATAAACACTCATTCTAAATTAGTGTGAAATTATGCATAAATATTAAAAAAAATTATTTTTCAAAGATACCTTTGTGGATGAATAACATAATAAAATATTTAATTTTTAAAAGTAATTTTAACAACATATATCATTTTAATCCCTATAAACATATTATTTGTGCGTGTTGTCTTTTAACAACATATATCATTCTAACCCTGTCAAAAATTGTGTGTATTCATACCTCTCGAATGTGCAGCGATTTGCGAACACTTTCATTATTGGCCCACTCAACAGTAAGGAATAAATTATATGTCTACAATAATGTAAAATGACGAAATCAATATTGGAATATGATCATTAACAAAAGTGAGAGTGGATTTATCGGAGTTAAGAATTACTTGGCATTTTATGTCTATGTCTATTGCTGTGGGATGAGAATTCAAAGTTGACTCTAACTTTTGAGTCAAGGATCTCCTCCACACATCTTCATAATTGTTTTGCGAAATATCTTCACAATTATAGCTATTGAAAATATAGTATATGTCAATTCCTGAAAGGCACTGAAAATAGAAATAATATTTATTATTATGGTGAATAAACTTAACTCATAAATAATAAAAGAAAAAGTGGTTATAAAAAAACTAAGATAGTCATTACTTGCCTCATCATAGTACTTGAGATCTCTTAGACAAAATTCATTTCTAGAATCTACAGATACATATTCTCCTTTACAATTTCTCTTCAGTGACTGTCCATAGATGATAGATGAGTAAGAATCATTGTCATTTCAATAAATTTTTTTAAATGAATTGTATATAAATTGTTGATTAGACTCCACTGAAATATAAAAGATACCTAAAGATTTTCATAAAAAGGTTAAGTACAACACATAAACAATTGGGACAAACTTTAGTAAAACTTATAGTGAAGTAAAACATTATTAATGCTATAAAACCAATCTCTTCAAATGATATATGAGAAAAAACCAGGAAATGAATCAACAAGAAATAAAGATATATTGTTGAAGATTGAGTGACATGTTTGTATTATGTATGTTCTATTAGAAAAATATATATACATTCTATTATAAAATAATAAAAGAATAAGAACTATCTACCTTACAAAACAAAGTTCCCAGTCAACTAATAATTCTTCGACTTGACTTGGCTTTATATTACATAAAATCTTTAAACCATGCTTGAACTTACGATCTCACAGGTTAACATATCAATGGAGTTATCATCACTATTGATCTTTTCTAGAATCACTTCTCCCTTTTCAATGAATGATCTTTTCAATGACTTCCTTTATAAAATGGAGTTTTACATATATATGCTGGACTTTTAGCCAAATGTATCCCACTTTGACTATCACAAACCTTAGTGATAACATGCCCTATTTCCAATCCTTCAATCATTTCTCTCGTCCAAATTGCCTCATAATTTGCTCATATGACAACAATGAATTTAACTTTTGTAGTGGATAAGAACCAGTTATTAGAGATTACATATCCAACTCACACTATTACAAAAAACTTAAACACATAGCTTGTCAAAGATCTTCTAATGTCCAAACATCCTACATAATCTAAATTAACAAACTTAGTTACATCAAAATTACTTCCTCCATGCCAAATATATAATGAACCAACTTTAGATGTCCCTCTCAAGTATCTCAAAATCCATTTCATAGTTTTCCAATGTAACTTTCCTACTTTTTCCCATCTATTTGCTAATCAAACTTTGGTTTGGAACAAATCATGACATACACGAGTCCTTATAGCATTGACATATGGAACCTTTTCCATACAAGAGACCTCAACCTGTGTATTTGGTGAGTCTTGATGTGGGAGCTTGAAGTGTTGAGCCATTCGAGTCAAAACAACTTTTAATTTATCCATGTTGAACTTCTTCAACACCTTAGTTATGTAGTCTCTGAGTGATGAACAAAGTTCCCGTCACTGTATCCCTTATGATATGCATACCATTATTTTCCTGCGAGTTCCCATATTCTTCATTTTAATTCGCTCTCAAGCATCTTCTTTACTTTTCAATCTCTTTTTTCTTAATGCTACCAGAAATCAACACACACACATGTATATATATATATATATGAGTAAGTAGACAATAACTTTATGCTCATTTGTCTTCAAGTACACATGACTGTCATACTTACATCTTTCAAATCCATTTTGTACAACGAAGGTGTCAAACCTCTTGTACCATTGTTGAGGGGATTTCTTAAGGTCATAAAGAGATCTTTTGAGCAAGCAAACCTTTCCATTCTCACCTTTCTTCATGAATTATAGTTAAGTCATGTAAATCTCATTATAGTCAATGTTCTCATGTGTAAATCCTCTTGCTACCAACCTTGTTTTGGATCTTGCCTTTTCCACCCCTAGAAATTTCTCCTTCAACTTGAATAACTATTTGCAGCTAACAAGATTCTTGCCCTTAGGCTTATCAAATAGCATCCAGGTACTATTCTTGTGTGAAGAATTAATTCCTCATTCATGACTGCAATATAGTTTAGAGATTGCTTGTTGGTCACAGTTTCTTCAAAACTGCTAAGCTCATCTCCTCTATTACAATAAGTGCAAAAGCAGCCATATCGACGTAACAAAAAATTTTTGGTGGCTTAATGGTTCTTCTACCTCTGTCTTTGGCTAAAATATACTTTTGTTAAGTAGTGTCTTCAATTTGCTCATCATCTTTAATTTTAGATTCTGCTTTAAACTTTTTAATTTCAAATTTTTTTAAATAACTGCACCTTCAAATGAACTTTCTCATAATCAAATTATCATGTTGTTGAATTGACTTCTCATTTAAGTAGAACATTTTTTATTCTCTGAATACAATATATTTACTAATCAATACTTGAGAATATCCCTTCTCCATGCACCATAATCTGAACCCTTTCACACCTTGAGGATACCTTACAAACATTCACTTTAAAGCCCTTGGTTTATATGTGCATAAGCCACACACCAAAATAATTTAAAAGTTTTTAGGCTTGGAGGGTGATTAGACTACATATTCTCTAGTGTCTTCATTTCAATAGTAATAGAGGGGGGCTATTATTTATCGAATGAGCTACTGTCATTACTGCTTCAACCAAAAAATGGATTGAACATTTTGCATTGGAGAACAAGCATATAACCCGCTTTATGACAATCCTATTCATTCTCTCAACAAGTCCATTTTGTTGGGCTTCCTCTAACATTATTATGCCTATTAATCCCATTCCTTTTGCAAAATAGATCAAATTCTTGAGAACAAAACTCTTGTTCATTATCAGTTCTAAGTCTCTTCATCTTTCTGCTGGTTTGAGTTTCAACTAAAACCTTCAATTCTTAAATTTTTCAAAAGTTTCATTTTTAATTTAAGAATGTATATCCATAGCATTCTTGAGAAATTATCGATGAAAGATAGGAAGTATCTTGCTCGATTATGAGAAGGAACTCTTGATGGCCCCCATAAGTCACTATGAATGTAATCAAGAGTATCTTTTGTATGATGAGTAACAGAGGCAAACTTGAGTCTCTTTGCCTTCCTAAAAACGCAATATTCCCAAAAATCTAGTGCCTTAATGTATTCTTTACCTGGCAAATTTGGTTTGCTTAACTCCTTCACTTGTATGGCCAAGTGCCAAAAACTTTCTTGACACTGTTCCATTTCAAAAACTGCATCAATACCCACTAGAGTCGTCCTTGAAGGAAATACAAACTATTCTCCAATTTTCCCTTCCTCAATATCATGGACCCCTTTGTGATTTTCTAAACTCCACCTACAACCTTGTACCCATAGCTTTATTTATCAAACATCCCAAGAGAAATTAAATTCGTCTTCAAATCAGGTACACGTACCCCTTTCATTCCTTACTCTCCTTTTGCAAGTTTCAGTTTTATGGTGACCATTCCAATCATCTTACAAGTCTTGTTTTTGCCTAGCATAACCTATCCTCCATGGTTTTTATTGTAAGAAATGAACAAGTTCATGTTAGGACACATATGGAATGTACATCTAGAATCAAGAGCCCATTCTTGTCTAAATTCCTCTGAAATGCACTATCACTTCAACAATCTCATATCCTTCTAAAACAACATCAACATCACCACTATGACTTTTTATTCCTCATACCTCTTTTTCCTTTTATTTTCAGGGCAATCATTCTTGAGATGCTCCTCACTATCACAAACAAAACACTTCCTCTCTTGCCCTCTCTTGACTTTAAATTGGAACTCTTGTTTGCCCCTTCTATATAACCTAGGCATGACAACATAGCAAGGCGAAGGCAGGTTTTGTCTCCTCGACTTTTTTAATCATCTCATCCCTGTCCGCTATCCTTCTTGGAGATAGAAATTACGTCCTCATTCTCTTCCCTAATGGGTTTTGGGTTTCCATATCTCCGACCTGTTTCCATTCTACCTTATTTCTAAAAAGTTAATTATACTCATAACAAATTAATTTTAATATTTTTATGTATTTTTTATATAATACTAAAAATTTATTATTTTATAATTTTTAATTATTATTATTAATTAAGTAATACTTTCATTTATTATATTTATATGAAAATATGTATGTAAAAAAATATTAATTATATTTTTATATGGATATAAAATATTATTATTATTTATAATATTGTATTCAAATATTTAATTACATATAAAAGTTAATTATTTTTTAAATTGTTATTTTAAAATGTTAATAAATATGAAATATATAATTTATAAGAAAATATTTAATAAGTCCATTTTTCTTTAATTAGTTTAAAATAATAAAATTTTTAATTATTAATTCTTTTTAATCCATCAAAATAATATTATTTTATTAAGATAAAATTTGATATATGATGAATAGAAATAATAAAATCTAGAAAAAATGACATAAATAAAACTTAATAAAGATAAACTAAAAATAAAATAATACTAGTTACTAAGGTTGATGTTGAATATTTGAAAAAATATAAAAAGAAAAACTAACTTCGTGTTTGTCAAATTGGTTGAAGAAATTAAAAAAAATCAAATTGATTGAAGAGATTAAAGAAATGTGAATAAGTAAAAGGTAATAAAAAGAGAAAAATGTAATAAATTGATTTATTTAAGAAATTAGAAAAGACAAAAGAGTGAAAAATAGATAAAAAAAGAATAAAAAGTGTGAAATATAAAAGAAATGACCCTATATATAATTGAGAAAGAAAAAGAAATATTTTAAAAAATTAATATTTTAGGATTTAAATTTAAATATAAAGTCGGGACGAAGATGAGTGGGGATTACATTATCTATCCCCACCCGCCCCTAATGAACACATTCTATTGATAATTTTATTAATTTATTTTGTATATATTTAATGTATTTTCTTAATCAATTATCAATAGTTAATATAATTTTTGTAAAAAGGAAATAAATATACCTTAATATAATTTATTACTTAAAACTATACATTTTAGCTAATTATTTGTTTACTTTGGCAGGAATGATCACTACAAGAAAATTGCATATTTTCGACGGATTTTTACTGACGGATTTGTAGCCGTCAAAAAATGAGTCATTATCGACGGATATAAAACATTTGTGGAATTTGGTCTTACCGACGGATATATCCATCGAGTAAATTAATAATTAGTTACCGAACGGATATATCCGTCGATAGAATTCATCGGTAAATTAACAATTATTTACCGACGGATATATCCATCGATAAATCCGTCAATACATTAACAACTAGTTACTTGACGGATACATCCGTCGATAAAATTGTATAATAATTACTTAATTTTAAATATATTCTAATAAATTAATTATTCACCTAATTAAAAAATTAAATATTTTTTTATTTAATAATTTAATTTAATCATAATTAGATTAATTTATAATAATTTATTAAATTAAATAATTTTAAAAAATAAATATTTAATTATATATAAATATATAAATATAATGGGGGAGATAAATAATTAAAATATAAAGGGGGAATCTCTAAAAAAATAGGTTATAAATAAGTAAAAAATACAATAAATAATAAAAATATTTCGACGGATTTTTGTCCGTCGGTAATTTTGTACAACATTTACCGACGAACTATTTAAATTCATCGGTAATATCTATTTACCGATTGATATTTGTTGTTACCAACGGATTTTGACCGTCCAGTATTTCTAATATTTCTTATAATGGATAAATTAAAAAAATTATAAAAGCAAATTCAATGAAATTTGTTAAGTGCTTTTTAATCTGTTTAGTGAAATCAATCCAAAGAGGTCCTTTTTTGAAATCGAGCAATCCACTCGAGCGAAACATGTCAAATCTCATGTAAATAATTTAACTGTAAATCCTCTTAGCGCATGAAGAAACCACTGAGCAAATTCATCATAGTACTTCATTTTTGCATAATGTTGTTTAAGTTTTATTATGTAATTATAAGTCTCAATTGGGCCTTGATTGTTTCGTATACCTTTGTTGTTGTACAAATAAGCCTTTGAAGCATGAAAAACATAAGTTAAGCTTTTAGAAGTTAAGTTTCAAAGTTAAGATTTCCAAGTTTTAGATTCAAGTTTTCTAGTTTCTATATGATACTTAGCTTCCAAGTTTGTTTATGGAGCCTCTTGTACGAATAATACTATAAAGTTTATCAATTCAAGTTGTTCTTGATTAGATTTGTTTCATTTTCATTTTACTTCTTCCTTTTACTTTCTATTTTCATTTTCCACTTCATTTCTTTACTGTTTTCATGTTATTTTTGGTTTTTCGCTTGTTCATCATGTTCTAATTTATTTTTGTTGTTGACTCACCGATTAAAACTTATTTTTTATGGTTTGGATTTGGTTCTTAATTATTCTAACCGATTATAATCCCTGTAATTGAGATTATTTGATTGAATGTCTCATGTACATCATAATTCCATTTTTAGGTTAAAGTGATGACTTGATTTAGGAATTGATTGATTGATTTAGAAATTGAGTTATAGATATGAATTTTAATTGGATTATAACTATTTAAAACTGTTGTAGTTTTGTTTTTGTGATTGCAAAACAAATCCTAAAAATCAATGATAATCATAAAAGTAAGTTTATGATTGGAGAATCATCACAATTTCTATCCTATATTTTTCACAATTCTTAATTCATTTTCATTTTAATTGTCATTTTGATTCTGTTTTTACTTCTAAATTTTAGTTTGTAATGTTTCTTAAAAACTTTATAGTTTTGTAAAAGTAGATTGAATTTAATGTTTTACTATTCTTTCTTGGATTAGATTTATAAGCTTTCTTTAATGTTTTTCATTTATTGCTTCCTTTAAATGCTTTCTTCAATTGCTTCCATAACTTAGGTTTATTGTTTTCTTTACATGCTTTCATTTACTGTTTTTTAGTAGAATAGTTTACTGTTTTCAATTAGATATTTATTGCTTTCAATTTACATTTGAAAATCAAGGTTTAAACAAAACTAAGTAATTTTCCTCAAAGATACAACCTAGCCAGCACTTAGCATTGCATTATTTTCATTGCAAATTCTTTGATGAGATCTAGAAGACAATATTCACTTAATCAACCCCCAACTTTTTAAAGCAAGAAAAACCCTAACCACCCACACCCGGTTAACTAGATTTTTTCCTATTAAATTCGGGACGAAAATTGATCAGTTCCAATATATATGGATTTAATTGTCATCTTTAATATACCGTTCTACTTATTGATCCCCCGTTCCTTCCTCTTGTTAATCTCCTTTAAGGGTAAAGGAGCTTATACCTCATCCACCCGTTCTACTTATTGATCCCCCGTTCCTTCCTCTTGTTAATCTCCTTTAAGGGTAAAGGAGCTTATACCTCATCCAATGACAAAGCATCTTTGTCATAAATGAGTTGTCTGAATGGTTGTCAAATTCACTTGGCAATATCTCAACACTAGCAATGCTTGATCTCAATATTTTCAAGTTCAAGAATGATTTTGTTGAAATCATTCAAGTGATCTTCCACAAATTTCCCTGCTAATATCTTGAAGTTGTACCATTTCTACTTCAAATACAACCCGTTGGTCATATACAGGTTTTCCAATTTGAACCAAAAGGCTGTAGCAGTCTTTTCACTTGAGACTTCCTTAAGAACCTTGTCACCAAAAGACAAAATCATGGCACTATGGGCTTTATCCAGGTTCTCTTTCTTTTATTTGTCTGTCATTGTGGTTGGTAGTTTCTTTTCTCCTTAAAGAGCCTCCTCTCTAGCTCCTAGTGGACTGATAAAACTGTCATCTTCATTCTCCATATGCTTAAGTCATTCTTGCCCGTAAACTTCTCAATATTATACTTTGTAGAACTCATTGTTCTTATTTCAAAAAAGAACATCTCAAGAAAGAATCCAAACCTTAGTTCTAGGTACCAATCTCTTACAAAACTTATCTCTACAAATTCTATGACTTGAGAAAAAAACCAGAAAATGAAACAATAGGACAAAAAGATATATTGGTGAAGATGGAATATCTTTTCTGTATTATCTTCTATTTATAAGATATATACGGATACATTCTGCTATAAAATAATAACAAAATAAGAACTAATTACCCAACAAAATAAAGTTTCAAGATAACTACAAAACATCAGAAAAATATTATTATTAGCTCATAGAGTTCATCAGAAATAAGTCCCATTCCATGAGCAAATGGGATTTGCTCATTTTTTTCTTTTCGTGTTGTTAGGGGGTTTCCTAGTAGATATCCCTGAAAATATCTTAAGATAAATTTAGACTTTAGAGTAGATAAAATAAATTGATAACATTACAATTGCAAGAAGGTTAAAAAAGCTTGTTTCAACCATTTGAAGTATTGAAAATGAAATCATGGATCAAAACTCACTCTTTAAAATTCAGATAAATTGATTGCAAACCTGGAGATTTATAATTGGTTGGAGACCTATTTCATTTCCTGTTAATCAAGGAAATGGAAGAATAATTGTAAGCTTTATGACAAATATGTGCATGCATGTGAAGCTTTTTATATTAATTAAATGTAATAAAGTAATGTACTTTATATAATAATCTTGTAAAAAAAAACTGTCCTTAATTTGTAAAATAAATCTAATAGATTTTAACAGTAAATATATCTCGGAGGATGTGAAAAGAAATAAGATATTCGAAATTGATAACTAAGTTCAAAAACTAATATGTTAATTACTTCATAAAGTTTAGTAAAAAAAAAAAATCTTAAAATTAGTCTTGGAAGAAAAAAATGTGCCAGCGATACAAATATTTTTTTAAAGGAAAACAAATCACTTTTGCCACAATTTGTTTTGATTAAAGTATTATAATATTATTATAGGTATAGATTAGATAAACCCTGATCTCTAGCAGGATCAATACTTCAAGTAAATTCTAGATATTACCAGTATTGTGCTTTTTGTCATGTACAACAAACAATAAGAGTTTGATACTAAGTTATTGCACCTTGAATTTATTTATTTTTCAAGGACTTCAATTTTGCAAAGTTAGATGTATGCACTAGTGTGTAATTTTTCTTTGATTTGTTTTATTTTTTTTATATACAATGATTGTACGGGGACAGAGGAAGCTAGAAAGGAATATAAAGGAGTACTTAGAAAAGAATAGTGGGAGAGTGGAAATTAGATAAATACATTGAAATTTTTGTTTTGCTAACTTCTACATACCAACCGAGAATCCAAATAATTATTAGTGTCAGACTATTAATTAAAATATTAAGAAACCTTTTATACCACGTTATGAATATAAATTCTAAGACAATAGCCATTAGGGAACAGATTCATCTTATAAATTAAGCAATTTTAACTTACATACCCTTTGAAATTTCTTGAACAATGGCAGGGGCAGGTATGCCAGAATATGAATCACCTCCCATGTAAAATTCATTGGAAATAAATTCTGGGTGGTCGATCAGCCACTGCAAAAGATTACCATACGAAGATCGTAGTTCAGGAAAAAAAGAATGATAAAAAATATGACAGCTTGTTTTTACAATGCTATGGAGAAGGAGAGCTCTAAACAGAAAGAAAGAGAAAGAGGAAAAGTTTCTGTATGGAATAAATGTACCTTCCTAAGAAATTGATGGGTATGGTGAACTAACTTCCAGTCACTCCTGTGAGCGCTGACATTTTTGGCATATGAGAATCCTGTTCCTAGGGGCAAATCTACGAAAATAATGCTAGATACCTGGCAAAAGAAAACATTGAAATGAATCATTTAACAAGAACAAGAACAAAAGTAACTATTAATTTTATAAATTTAACTTTGTCAAATGGAATGAAGATCAAATGGTTGAGGATGCATAATGAAATCTATACCTTCGTCCAGGACTGTGGCCTCAAGATCAAATTTGGCAAGCTCCCATTATACTCTTCAATCTTGAATGCAAGTGGACCTATTTACATCCAATTGACTCAAGTTGTTTAGTGAAGTTAATTTTTGAATGTACTCCGTATCACATCGTTTCGAACTATCTAAAATGGAATAAAGGTTAAGTTTATTAAGTTCTACCTCATAGAGCACCCATTGCCTCTTCAACATGAATGATGAACTAGGAAGACCATGAGTCTCAGGAGAGCAAGTCATGAGAAAAATAATTAGGGCAACATTGTCTACTTATGTTTTCTATTTTCTAAAGTGGTTTAGTAAAATCTATCTGCCAAAACCGCTTTTTGACTAAAAACGTTTTGTGTATAGATTGTGCAATACAATCAATTTATATAAGAGTTTAAAATCCAAATCTAGTGTTTTATTGTTAGAGATAATTTGATATATTTCTTTTTTAGATTTTATTTCGTTACCCCCCGTCATCAAGCACTAATTCTTAGGCATAATTAGTATTTTGTTCCAGTTTTGTATTGATCATGTCGTATGTTTGTATACATGGTTAATTATATTTTTTCGTTTGAGAAAAGTTTATAAATAACTCTTAATTTGTTGATGACAATAAGATAATTTTTCATTACCTTATTTCTTAATTTTTGAGTTTTAACAGTTGGCATTGGAGCTTTGAGAGGGACTTAATAATGAAGAACTTTCTAAGGAGTAAGAAGATGCGGAGTCTAGTAGATGAAGGAAGCCCTGCACTTATAATTGGGAGAAGGACTAGGACCAACGAGTGAGGCACAGAGGAAGGTTGTAGAGGAGGACAAACTCAGATTTGAATGTTAAGAATTTCTTATTCCAAGCTATTGATAGAGAAATCCTAGAAATAATTCTTTACAAAGGAACATCAGAGACAATTTGAAACTTAATGAAACAGAAGTATCAAGGGTTCACAGAAGTGAAAATGATACAACATCAACCACTGAGAAGGGATTTTAAGTTGCTTACTATGAAAGAAGGTGAAAAAGTAGACAAGTTCAATTATGTTGTTTGTTAAATAGAGGGGTCAATGATCTAAGTTCTTTAAGCATTAATGAGCTATACAGAATGAACAAAGGAGGTAGGAATACTAAGAGGAGGAACATGTGTTAAACGTAGGTTATGAAAGTGATCCTAGCAAAGATCTCATTGATTTGATGAAGTCAAAGATAAAGTCAAGGGTCAACTCTGCAGCAGTCAAACAAGTCACTCAGAACAAAGGAGCTGAAGACTTAGTGTGTCTAAACAGAAAGCTTAGGTAAAACCACTTTACCTTTTCCACTGCATAAAGCTTCTTCACTCAATTTGCAAAATGCCTCAAAAATAGTTTTAAACAAATAAAAAACAAAAGCATTTTGGCAAAGAATTTTCTTAAACAAGTTATTAACTGATAAAGGTTTGAAAGAATCAATTTAAAACACTTAGAATGTTTTAAAAAGTGTTTTTACAATATTTTAATCGATACAAACTTCTTTTAATCGATTAAAACTCTTTATGACCGATTAGAATTCGAATGTAATAGGTCAGAATGCAATATAATCGATCAGATCTTAAATATGAGCGATTAGAATTATTTTAATCGATTAAAACACGGTTCAATCGATTAAAATCACTTTGGATGTCAGTATGATCGATCAGAATGAGATTATGACCGATCAGAGTTGGTTATGATCGATCAGAATTGAATTATGACCGATCAGACTTATTTCAATCGATTAAAACGCATTTCAATCGATTAGAATAACTTAGAAAATCTTTTCAATCGATTAAAACGAACTTTCAATCGATTAAAATGACTTGAAAATATATGTGCAGATTTTCAATCGATTGAAACGACTTTATATCAGTTAAAATAACTTGGAAAGTTTTATAAGAAGGTTTTTAAACAAATCAATCGATTAATACGTGATTCAATCGATTGTTTTATACTTAGAAAATGTTTGTAAAACGTTTTAACTGATAAAAACGTGGTCGTATCAACTAAAACATTTTACGTTAAAGATCATGAACGCATTAATGGGTTGAAAGGACTTTTAACAGATTGTAACTGGCTATTTCAACAGATTAAAACAAACTTTCAACAGATTAATTAATGCAGCAGATTTGAAAATACTCTTTTATAAACAGATTTGCTTGAAACTTTGAGATATAGATCACATATCAGTTTTGACACAATTCAAGCAATCAATACAAGCAACTATTAGCATTTTTCAAGAAAGATACACAACTGTTTTTGTGAACTTCTTTTGAAATCTTTCTTGAGGCACTTTGCATTTCTTTGAAGAAGAAACTGACTGTGGATTGGTGTAATCCGGTTTGAGCTTTCTTTGTTTCTTCTTTTAAATTTCTATTCATTCATTTGTACTTGTTTTGTACCTGGAATTTGGGTACAAGTTTTCTGCATTTGTTGTAGAAAGTTGCCAAGAACTCGGAATTTGGTTCTTGGTGGAAAGGTTAAAGCAAGAGCTGGAATTTGGTTCTTGTGTGTGGTGCCTGGAATTTGGGCACTTGGTTTCTCTGCTATCTGGAATTTGGTTGCAGAGGTTTCCAAGAGCTGGAATTTGGTTCTTGGTGGAGAGTTAGAATAGGTGTAAGAGGGTGAGTCCGTAAAACATCTATTCTAGTGGAACCCAGCTGGAATTTGGCTAGAGTCCGGACGTAGCCCTGGTATTGGGTGAACCAGTATAAAATTACCGGTGAAATCTTTCCTAACCTTTCTCTCTTTAATTTCTGCTGCTGCACTTAAACTGTTTGATTGCTTTGTAATTTGTGAATTCATAAGTAATCTTAATTTTCGAATTAGATAATCTGTGTATTGCGAAAAACTTTCAAAAATCAATTCACCCCCCCTCTTGATTTAAAACTACTTTTCTAACAGGTTAGAGAGACAAGTCAAGCAGAGAAAAGTCAGATGTATTTAGAGGAGGACATGACAAGGATAGAAGGAGACAACCTATAAATAAACAATTATTGAGTGATTCAAATGCCATAAGTTGAGCCTTTCCGAGTATCTTGACTAAAGAAAAAAGAAAGCAAATTATGCTGCGTTGAATGAAGAAGAGGAACTTTTGTTGATGTCCTATGAGAAGCCTCATCAAACAAATAGAGAAGAAATGTGGTATTTTGACTTACGTTGTATAACCATATGATTAGGGAATAAAGAATGGTATTTTGGATTTGGAAGAAGAATACTGCAAGATAGTGAAGCTTGGGAATGATATGAAAATGACAGTGACAAGAAAAAGAAGTATAAGGATGCAATTGAATGTAGGAGTGCCCCGTTTTGGCCCATCCCGCCAAAAGCGGAACAGGGTGGACTAGCTCGCTATAGTCATGACAAGCTACAAACCTTAACTCGCCACATATATTTTTTAAATCAAAATTTTTAATAATTTAATAATTAGATTATTATTTGTTTGTCAATAGTTTAAAATATATATATATATATATATATATATATATATATATATACATATATCAAGTTAATAATATAAATTGATATATTGTTTTAATAAATTATATTTTAGAACAACCATATTAAGATAAAATTTATATAATAATAAATCCATGTACGTAACATGATCAAAATTTATCAAATCTCTATTTTTTATATTGAAAAGTTCAAATATCTAAAATGAAAATTACATTATATTTATTTATTTGATAAAACTTCACATTGTTCTCCCATTGAGTAATTCTCACATCTTTAATTCGAGTCATTATAATAAAAATAATCAATGTTCGGGATCATTAGATGCACTTATTAGAAGAGGGGTTTATGCTTGAGGAAAATGTTTCATGAGACTTTTTTAATTCTCTTAGTAGTGAGACACTAATACTTTTTGAATTCTCTTACTAGTGAGACAATGAGACTTTCCGAATTCTCTTAGTGAGGTATCGAGACTTTTATAATTCTCTTTTCACAAATTTCTATATTATATTTTATCTTTTTTATTTATTGTATCGGAATAAAAAAATTTATTAGTAAAACAAGCCAAGGGTTGGCCGGTCCCACCCCACGGGTTGGCCCGGCAAGCCAGAACGAACTGGCGGACTGAAAGTACTAATCTGGCCCAATATAAATTTTGGCATTTTTTTTAAATTTTACGAAACCCTTTAACATTTGATCCATTATATGTCCGATATAAATTTACATCCGTGCTTATATAGTCTGACGTAAATTTATATTAGTTAAAAGGGTCGACGTAAATTTACATCTTCCTCATTAACGTCAGTCTTTATTTTGACGTAAAAAACCAAAAATAACATACAATAAATGTCCTATCTCCACTAGTGTTCAACTAGTGACAAAAGGCACATATTGATGATTTTACTCGTAAAAATTTGGTTTATTTTCTACATGAGAAGTTAGAAGCTTTTGTAATGTTCAAAAATTACTAGCTTGAGAATGTGAAATGGTGTGTGCATATTCAGAACCAGTGTGCAACAGTGGTAGTTGAAAACAAGATTGCATAAGAGGCTTGAAGTGGTGAGAAACCCATGGTGGCATATTTTTGAATTTTTGGATGTGCAACATATGTCCATGTAATGGATCAAAGGAGGACTAAGCTAGATGAGGAGAGCAGAAAATGTGTCTTCTTATGAGTCAATGATGAGTTCAAGGCGTGGAAGTTACATGATCCAATCTCAAAGAATATTGTTGTTAAGAAAAATGTTATCTAAAGAAGAATTAAATTGGGGCTAGGGTAGAATAAAGGAAGAAATCAAGCGAGATATATTAAAATGGGAAGATGCAAGTGAAAGTGATGGAGATGATGACCAAAATGAAGAGGAAAATGGTGAAATAGGCTCAAACAATTTGAGTAGCAGTTCAATAGAGTCACCTCCAAATGAGCTAAATACATATGGAGAATTGCATGAAAGGAGGGTTAAATGAGAAAAAAGAGCACTAGGATGGACGAAAGATTATGAATTTGGGGGAAGGATTATCTAAAGAAGAAAACTTGATGCAATGATGATGATAACTGAAAATGATCTAGTTATGGTTAAAGAAACTTTGAAAAGCAAACATTAGAGAAAAGCAATGCAAAAAGAAATTGAAGCCATAGAGAAGAGTCAAACTTGGGAACTTATTGTGCTACGTAACAAAGTCAAACTTATTGTGCTTAACGAAGATGAGAATGTGGATGGGGAAGGATTATCTGAAGAAGAAAACTTGAATGCAATGATGATGATAACTAGAAATGATCTAGTTATGTTTGAAGAAACTTTGAACAGTAAACATTAGAGAGAAACAATGCATAAAGAATTTGAAGCCATAGAGAAGAATCAAACTTGGGAACTTATTATGCTACCTAAGGGAGTCAAACTTATTGTGCTTAACGAATATGAGAATGTGGAGCAACTCAAAGCAAGATTGCTGGAAAAAGGTATCCACAACACCATGGAGTAGATTACGCTAAAGTATTTGTTCCAGTGGTAAGAGTTGACACCAACCGTGTGATACTTGCAATAACTACTCAATTCATTTGGAAGGTTTTTCAACTCGATGTGAAGTGTATTTTTCTTTATGGGGAGCTAAAAGAAGAAGTGTTTGTGCAACAACGTGAGGGATTCATAAAGAAAGGAGAAGAGAAAGTCTACCGGCTAAGGAAGACATTATATAGTCTTAAACAATTGTCACGATCTTGGTACAACAAAATTAAAGCCTACTTTGCACGTTGAAGATTTTGAGAGGTGTCCTAGTGAGCAAACACTATCACAAAGTTGTAAGGAGGTAAAATATTAATAATTAGTCTTTAGATTGATGACTTAGTATTTAATAGGAATGATAAAACCATGCATGATAAGTTTAAAAATTTAATGATGCTGGAATTTGATATATTTAACTTGGGAAAGATGAAACATTTCCTTGGAGAGGAACTTAAATAGTATTTGAATGGAATTTTCATCTATCATAGAAGGTATGCACAAGACGTATTAACAAGGTTTGGAATGAGGGACCACAATGCTGTGAAGAATCCAATAGTGCTAGGAACAAAGTTGTCTAAGCATGAAGGGGAGTGAGAGATGATGAAACTCTATCTAAACAGTTGGTTGGAAGTCAACTATACTTCGGCCTGACTTGATGTATGCTATTAGTTTGATCAGTAAGTTCATATCCAGTCCTACTATCTCACACTGACTTGTAACAAAAAGAATTTTAAGGTGTTTAAAAGGTATGGTACGACTGACTTTGGAATTTTTTATTAGAAAGGAGAAAACAATGTAAGACTCACAATCTTTATAGATAGTGATTATGTCGATAACTTAGATGATTAGAAACGTGCATCTAGGCATGTGTTTGTGATGGGATTTGATGTTGTTTCTTAGTCATCGAAAAAACAAACAGTAGTTACTCTGTCTAGTATGGAAGCAAAGTACATAATAACAACATAGTGTGCTTGTATGTGTGTTTGGTTAACAAGGTTGCTGGAGAAACTTGGAATTGAAGAGAAGATAAGAAGTGTGCTTAGGTGCGATAGCAATTTCACTATACAGAAAAATAAGCATATTGATGTATGTTCAGTTTCTTAAGAAACTTGGTAAATGATAGACTAATTGAACTAAGCCACCGCAAATATCAAGATTAAATTACAAATATCATGAGAAGACAAATAAAAGTTAGAGCAGTTTGAAAAGCTTCGTAACAAATTCAGAGTAAGTGAAGTTATTAAAATAAAGTTCCCAAAGTAAGCTAGACGTAAATGGATTAGTTCAATGAAAGAAATGATAGAGATAATTTATTAAATTTCTGTGTTAAATTTTATTTATACGTCTTAGTATTTAGGAATAGTTAGTATTTTATTCCAGTTTTTTTTTTTAAAAGATTATAAATAATCTATATTATAGGAATTGACATGGAAAGTTTGCATATCAAAATTACCTATTTGAATGGCAAGAGGCGAAAATGCAGAGCAACCAGGACCTCCAGAAAGCCAAAGCATAAGAGGGTCTTTTGCAGGGTCATTCTCTGACTTGATAAAGTAGTAAAACACTTGCATATCATCATCTGTTTCTCCCAATCCTACATACCTGTTGTTGCTTCATGCCTTTAACTTAAAGTTCATTGAATAAAGTGGAAATCAGAAAAGGGAAAGTGGTGTTGCTTACCCTGTTTCCAGTTCAAAAGGAAGAGGCCCTTCAAACCCAGGAAGCAATTCTACCTTTGAACCAACCTGAGATGATATGCGCACGAAAAAAGCAAGAACAATTACAAAAATAATATGAGAATTGAAACACATAATACAAATCCTGCTCATCCTGGAAGCTGATGTTTCTTGTATTTTTTTATTTTATTTTTGTCTATATTGAGAAACTGTTTCTAGGGCATTCAGAAGTAGCAAATGAAATATCGCACATAGGAATAGTTTTTTTTAACGTGAGAACTTATTAAATTTACTTTTCACATAAAAATGCTTTTATATACAAATTATTGACTTTTATTCATTTTACAAATTTCAGTTATTGAAAATTTTGATTATAACTTAATAGCTTTTTGTTTTTTGTTTTTTTAATTTCCTTCAATTATTAATTTATTTCCAATTTGTTTTTTCTTTAAATTCATTTTTTATTTAATTTATTAAAGTTATTTAATAAAAAGTATAACACATGTTGATGTAATACTTATACGTAATTTTGGCATTTGAAATATCCGACATTGAAAAGACAACATTAAAACAATCACGTGGAATCCCTGGTGGTTATTCAGTCGCCATCTATCTGGTAAGTGGATGAGAAGAGATTGATGGTGCGTTTGTATATGGTGATTTTTTGTTCCTGCCGACGAAAAAGCGATCATGAATCATATTAGTTTTCCGCTATATGAGAAAATTTGTGACAGGAGATTTGAGAGAGAGGGGATCAAGTGCCTGCTAGAACGACAAGATGAGACGAAAAACATACGGTCATCCAGTTTTCATTTACCTTATTTTTCCACTCCATCTTCCACGTCAACTAATTGGGTATGACATTGAAAAACAATTGCTGGTAGAGGAAAACTGTTTTCAAGCAGAAAATCGTTGACAGATTTTTACCCACCCACATGCAAGCAGCTATAATGAAAATTCGTCCAGCCCAGTTGATCATGGTAGTCGAAGGTTCAATGCATCATTAAAAGCTGTGAGAGGAACTTTAGTGTTATGTGTTTAACTTGCTCTTTCACTCATAGTGAGGTTGGGTCTTGATGGTGGTGGTGGTAGGTTTGTGTGTGTTGTGTGTTGAAAGTGGCTGAGAGAATAGATCTGATTCTGAGTAAGAAAATCAAATCTTTTTATCTATAGAATTGATTATATATGGGTTCAATGAAACGAGAATCAATTTTTAATTATGTTCATTGTATGAAGAATCATTTTTCTTTACAAGAATTGAGAATCACATTATTTGAATTCAAGTGTAATTTTGAAGTTCCATATTAGATAAAAATAAGAAAGTTGTATAATTTATAGGTAAGATAAACTCATAACCTATTATCTTAAGATTTTAGGTTGAATGTAATGTCACATTCTCTTACGTGGTTGGCTCAAGTTCTATTTGTGAGAATCTCTTTACGGGAAAGTTGAACAACTTATAAGTGAGAAAGACTCATAACCTATTGTCTTAAGGTTTTTGGTTGAAGGTGATGTCATATTCTTTTATATGGTTGACTCAGGTCTTATTTGTGAGAATCTTCCTACTATTAGCCCCCTCGAAAATACTTAACACATTACTCATACAAATTTATTCTTGACCATGTTTTATCTAAACGAGAATCGATTCTTGCGTGTGAGTTGTGTATTCATGTTGGCAACAAAAATTGATGTGTTGTGTTGTATTGTAGTTTGTGCATGGTGATCGATGACTCATGGTTGTTATTGTCTGGTTTTGTTCTGTGGGCTATTGATTCATTCATGATGTGTGTGACGTTGGTTGAATGGTGTGATGTTCGTCGTAGATTGGTGTCCCAATGTTCATCGTCATGGGTGGTGTTGGTGCTCATTGTGGGTGGTAATGCTTGTCGTGTTGATTGTGTGTTGGTTGTGTAGTGGTGCTGGTGTTGGTACTCTATGTTGTTAGTCCATCGTCATTCTTTATGGTGGTGATCGTCCTCGTATTGTGGTGTTAGTGACGATGATCGTGTAATGGTGTTCCGGGTGATTGTTGGTGGTGAGTTGGGATGCATGTTTGGTTCTTCAACGGGTAAGTGAATCAATAAAATTTTAGGTTGAAATTTTGTTTTTCAGCTAATTATATGTAAGTGTATATGATGGATGATTTAATTGATTTTGTTAAAAAGATTTGTAAAGAGATTAGAATTAGTTTTAAGTTAGATTATCTTAAAAATATTTGAAGTGAGATTATAATAGGTTTTTAAGTTAGATTAAGCTAAGTATAAAAATTATCATTTATATTAAACTAGTATTTAGGTAAATATAAAATTAGATTAAATATAAATGCAATATTAAATATTTTATAAATTTGTAATTTATGATAAATATATACCAAAACAATATTGAAATATATAATAGATATTTTATGAAATTTTGGCTTTCCATTAATTAAATATAAAAATAGTATAATAAAATAAAATTTAAGTTTGTTAATAATATATTAAATTGTATAATGAAATTAAATTTAAGATTATTAATAATATGTAATAAATTAGGAATGAAAATATCACTTAAGAATTTATTTTTTAAATTAATAATAAGTTTTCATTATTTATTACATTTTAAATTACTATCAAATAAAGAGAATTGTCATTGAGATTATTCGAATCCAGTACCTTAGAATTGGAGGTTAATATTCCAACAACTAAACTAGTACGATTTTCTAATAATAACTTACAAATAAATTATCCGTATATACAAATAAATGTATATTCGTGTAAATATATAAATATAAAATATATAAATACAAATATATTTATATATTTTGATATATTTATATATTTATAGATGGATATATTCAGTCGATAACTAATTGTTAATTTACCGACGGATATATCCGTCGAAAACTAATTGTTAATTTACCGATGAATATATCTGCCGGTAATTAATTGTTAATTTACCGACGGATATATTTGTCCGTAATTAATTGTTCATTTACTGATGAATATATTCGTCGGTAAGACCAAATTCCACAAATACTTTAAATCTGTCGGTAATCACTCATTTTCTTATGACTACATATTTATCGGTAACTATCTGTCGGTAATCACTCATTCTTTTTTTATCGGTATGGAAAAACTGTTTCAAGACACTTTCATAATATGTTGAATGCAATATTTATGTTAGAGACAAAATTCTTAATTCAACCATATGGGACTGAAGTCCAAACTCATGTTCTAAATAATAGTTGATTTTACCTATACTTCACGGTAATATAGTCCAAACTCCAATGTCACTTGATGTACATAATATATTACTTGTTATTTACACTCACATTTTCTTTTTACCTTTTAAGATTGTTTCGGGATAATAGATGACACCCATGTACATGTTAGGGTTTCACAAGCAAATGTCCCTCATCTCCGAGGAAGAAAAGATTGGTCAATGCAAAACATATTTATAGCTTATGATTTTGACATGAAATTTAAATATCTTTTAACCAGGTGAGAAGGAACTACATTTGATTTACAAATTTTAAAGGATACCCTTATTTGAGAGGATTCATTGATTATTCCCCAAGGTTAGTTGTATCGAATCTTATGGACTTGATTTGTGGTCACTTAGAACTTATTAAATATAATGTTGGAAATGTAGGAAAATACAACCTTGGGAATGTTGACTTTATGTTAAATATAATAACACTATATGGTGACATCAAATATCACCTAAAGAGTAATCTGAAGAGGTCCACAAAATCCAAGTAAGTTGTTTAATGTTTGTCATGCATCACTTAAAATATTATTGAAAGGACATTTGATGTTTTAAAGAAACGGTTTCCCATCGTAGCTAGTGGAAGTAAACCACATTACTCATTGGAGTCAATGACAAAGATTACTTTAGCATGTTGTATTCTTCACAACTATCTATGTGAAGTGGACAACAACGACTCCTTAGTGGTTGAGGTTGATCAAGAGTTGATGGAACAAGAGGTTCACCCATTCAACACTTAAGGTCTGGATGATGATTATAGACTATGATAAAACCTTTGAGATTTTATTGCAAACAATATATAGAGAGACTATGAAAAGAATTAAGATATTGAACTAGTTGCTTTAATGTATAAATATGTTGTCTTGGATTTTAATGACTTGTTAAGTAAGTTCTTTTTAAACCATATTTATACATGATTGTGTTACAATTTTTGGAGAAGTTGTGTTTTCAATAGGTAAATCATGAATAGAATCAAGAGTAATGTTCTTGAGTCATCTGTAGGAATCAAAGTGTTTACTAAATGGACAACGAACACAAACTTACGACTACTGACAATCATGGTTGATGAGGCCTGTTTGAGCAATCGAGTTGATAATAGTTGGACCACACAAGCATATAATAACATTGTAGAGTCCCTCTGACAATTCGACTTGGTGGGTATAACGAAAAATAATGTAAAATAAAGGCATAATAGCCTCAAGAACAGGGGGGCAAGAGGTTCATGATCTTCTTGCTAGCCTAAGTGGCTTTGCATGGAGTGAATCAACAAAATTGTTCGAGGCTGAACCAAAAGTTTGGGATGACTTAGTAGAGGTGTTCTATATAGCTTTCTTTATTATAATAAACATTCAAACATTTATTTATAATCTCTTTATTTATTATGTGTGTTTCTCAATTGTAGACAAAACCCTCTATTGCTAAGTGGAGAATCATCCCCATCAGATACTATGATTTGATGGAGTAACTATGGGGTGTTGATCATGCCACTAGGCATAACGTAAGTATGACATGTCAAATTTTTCAACGCATGCAAAAACAAACTTACACAGTGAATTTGAATGATGACATGGAATATATTTCAGAGGAGGCCGCATTTCATAGAACAATAAATGATGTTCCTCGATCACCCCCACATATAGATTCACATAGTCTAACACCAGATCAATCTATTCCACCGGGTGGTACATCCTCTTTACGAGGCTAAAAAAGAAAAGCCTCGATGATAAATATTATGGAAATCCAAATTGATAATTTGAATACCAAATTTGTTGTTGTTGTTGTTGAAGCAATAGGCAAAGGTAACAACATCTCAAAAAAATTAGTCACATACGTGGAAAGGTAAGTCATTATTACTTAAAACAGAAATGAACTATTGTATAGGACAACAAACTTTCAACACTCTGTAACTGATATATGACAATTATACATACAGATCAGTAATGAACAAATAATGGACCGGTGTTATGACTTTCTGTGTATGAACTCGTTACATACTAAACACCCATTTGGGATATCGACAAAACGTCATTTAAACAAGTTAATTAGTATGATGTCTGGAAATCAATGATTCTATTGTGTCTAGGGTTTAAAACTATTTCGAGTGAGTTATAGTTATTTGAATATGTAATATAACAATTATTATAATATTTATGTCATCTAGTCCCATTTGAATTTATATCTTCATTTATTTCATTTATAGTTTATGATTAATTGCATTATGTTGTATTTCACCTTTTATTCATACTTTTCATATGTGATCATTTTGTAGGCATGACTTCCTCTTTTTCGACTAAATGACATGAAATGACAAGGCAAAAAAATTTATTATATTTGATCATGTAGTTTCTCTTACACAACAATTGGAGGTTGAGAACGTATTAAATCTAGTTTGTGGGTTCAACACACATGATCATATGGTAGAGTTTAATGACTCATTTATCTGGAAGAAAAGTTTTAAGCAAAAAAGTAATGAATTTCCTATTCTTCGCCAAATCAAGATTGTGTTTCCATCATCATATATAGTTCCAAAGTGTGGCACATTTCCTTATGCTAAATATTGAATATTACAATGACCTAGTTCGAGTATTTTACACAAACCTGAAAATCACATAACAGGGGTACCTGTACACTAAGGTTAATAAGACAAAGATCAAAATAAATCCTGCAGATTGGTTAAGTTTGGCTAATCTTGAATATGAAGGTCATAAGCTGTCATTTCCTACTCTCTTTGAATATATGAGTACGACCAAGAAATGACATTGACCTCCATGCTCAGACTAGAGATCCAAGGTCAGAATGTGAGCAATGCAGGAAGTTTACATATCAATGACAGACTCCTACATTATGTCCTTGTTCATATGTTGACTCCTACATTATGTCTTTATTCATATGTTGACTCCATGGGTGACGAACTTTGCAAAATTGATGCAAGAAGATATCTTTATGTTATGGGCATTGAAAAGTAATATTCTTCTTAATAAGTCGCATCATATTATGTAACACATGTTGAAATACAAGAATAACAACATGCATCTTCCATACGTTATTTTCATAACATGCATAATGGTTCACTGTAGCGTGGACTTGACCTTGGATTCCTCTATTGTCTTGGATTAGACTCATTACTTTAGTAAAATAACGTTGAACAAAGTAAATTTTGTTAATGTCAACGATGTATGACAACATGAAAAGGTAAACCAAGAAGATGAAAATAATAATGATAATGAAGAACCTGCAATATCGAACAATGATGCGACTAACATTGAAGAACAAGACCCTGTCCACCATGAGTCGGTCCATCCGCATGTTCCCATGATGGTCAAATGCTAGCACAAATTTAACGAGCATTAAGGAGATGCAAACAAAAATATAACTAATGAAAGATAATTTAGCTAATTTAAATTTAACTTTTAACCAATGTTTCAATAAGGTCACTCGTAAAGTTAACCGTTTGGAAGAACAATTTGATGATTCAATACTCTTTTTCAATAAATTTTATATTTTTTTATTTACTTATTTGTTGAATGTTTATTATAATGTATAACCACTTGACGACAACTTTTAATATTTGTTCCTTCTAACTTTTCAATTATTTCTTTCATAATCAATTAAATGAAAATTTGCTTTCATCCAGTTATTACATTATTTTTAACAAATTACTTTCACTTTAATTTAAATTTACTTTATATTTAATTTGAAATAACTATCAATTAAAAATACAATTTGGTTTTATTTAGAGTAATTATCCAAATTTATTTCAAATTAATTTTCATCGATTACATTTTATTTTAATATAATTTCATATACTTAAAACATTTTTTATATATAATTTCATATATTTCGATCAAAGTAAGATTACAATTTTATCAATTAAAATATTTTTTTAATCTATCAAAATCAATCATATCACTCACAAAATGTACTCTCATATCTCACCCATTTTCCCTTGGGTTTTGTTTGCATCATGATTCGTCGGTTCACGAAGATAGATTTAAAGTGATTTGAAAGAGCCTTCCAGACGATTTACTGTTGAAAAATCATACCTTCAAGAGTGTGTGGATTTGTAAGGAAATGATGTATATAATTATAAAAGTAATAAATTATCCTCCATCAAATATTGTACACGAGAAAGCTAAATATTTAATATAAGGGTATTTTAATAATAATAATAATTTTTCATGTTACTAATTAAAATAAATATAATTTAAACATCTATAATATTTTAAATTCTAATTCTAATAATAATAATTTTTATTAAGGGGTAATTTAGTAATATCCAAACTTATTTTATTAAAATATTTTTTTAATATTCACATCCATTAAATCACTAACAAACTTTTTTTTCTCTCTCTCATTTCTCTATATTTTCTATCATATTTTCCTTAATCCAAATAACCCCATTTTCATATCTCTTTTCTACAAAATTCATCATTCTTTTGTCACTCTCTCGAATTCATCCTCTAATATAATAAAAAACTTAATTTAAACAATCTTCCTTTCATTTCTCTTTCTCCTTAAATTCACTCATTTTTAGTCTCCTTAATTTATCTTCAAACTCAAACACAAACTCAATGTGAAAGTAATTAAAAAATTAAAGTGAATATTTAAAGTGTTAAGAGATATAAAAAAAAAAGAACAAGAACAAAGAAATAGTTAAATACATATCAATAAGTGAGAGATATTAGACTATCTAAAATTTTATTTTAATTTCATTTCATCACTAAAATCTTTCATATTTTGGAGAAGTTTTCATGTAAATTTCGTATAAAAATTCTCAAGAAATAATTTTCCTACATATTTTCATGTGATTAGGTATTACATTTGTGATAATAAATCATCTAAGCCATTATTGATCTTAAAAAGGTCAAATAATATATTATTAATAAATAATAAATATATATAAAAATATAAAAAGATTATCATTAATCTTAAAAGAGTTAAATAATATATTATTAATAAATAATAAATAAATGTAAAAATATAAAAAAAATATAAAAGGATCAAAAATCAAATTAATAAATATATAATTAATATATTTTTAATAATCATTAAGTTTAAGGAATAAAAATCATAAATGTTAATCAAAATTTTGTTACAAAAATTTTAAGAATAATAAGAAGAAACAAAAATCATAAATAAAATAAATTATAAAACTTTGTCATGACTCCCTCACATCCAAGAATATTGACGACTTGCATTTAAGGATTTAAAAATTATAGAAAACTTCAGTACTCAAATCCCAACTTCTGCAACTGTTAATAAAATTGGGAATTTTAATATCATTTCCTGCATTTTTCATTTAATATGGTATTTAAGGAAGAGGTTCACTACTATGTATACTTACTAAGAATCACTTTGGCACAAGGCCCTTCAATTTATTTTCAACAATATACCATCCCAAATCCATGTCGCATAATTTCATCTTGTTTCCGGAAAAAATCGTTTTTATAATATATAAATTGATAATTTTACTTAATCACAATTAAATTATTATGAAGTTCTTTTAATATGATTATAATTTATTTTATTTTAAATTTTTTACTAAACCTTGATGAAAATAGTTAATTAATATGCTGAGTATAAATTTCAACCAACAATCTTCTTATTTATATTTATACATATCATATCTTCGTAATAATAATTGTAAATACATAATCGCATCTTTTTCTTTGTCCTGAATCCTTCAAATTATTATTATTATTGCTAAATTAAAATAACAAAAACAAAGAGAATAATTTAAAAAAATATATTATTATTGATTATTTATTGATTTTATTAATATTTATTACTCTTTTTTATTATTATTATTTACATTATTTAAATATCTATACTTTTTTAATCGACACATATAAATAGATATTTTATTAAAAAAATATAAATATTATGATTATTTTTTATCTTATTTTATAATGCATTATGATATCAAGTAATTATTCCAGTATTTTATATTATTTATTATATATTTTCACTAATATATTATTATTATTATAAATTTAATATTTTAATTTTTTTATACTTAAAGATCTGTTTCAAATTTTGCATTACTTGAATTTAATGAACAAAATAATGAGTTTTTTTTTTATGAAAATTCATGAAGTTCACATGACTTTTTTTTTTTCGATCCTAGGTGAATGTGAAATATTTGACTTATATATAGGTGATTAGCAATATTTTATCTTTTAAATATAATAAAAATATATAATAATTAAGGAAAATCTATATCATGAACATTTATAAATTATAATAGACTTAATTCTTAATTGTAAAAGAGTTGTAAAGGTGGATTTTAAAGTTGAAAAACTAATTGAATAAAATTATAGATACAATGAAAATAGTAAAGAAGTATAGGAGAATTTGAAAAATCTATCATCTTCTTAGACATCTCATTAAAGAAAAAAAATTGGATACCAAAATCAAACAAAGAATAAGCACGATCTTGATTAGGGGTCAAACAAAAAATTGAAGTATAATACCAATTTGTAGTGATAATAGTATTAAGATTAAAAAGAAGATACAAAACATGAAAGAAATGAACATAGATAACAAAAGAGAAACGTGTCTTTCTTATAAAAAGATGAGTTTGAAAGGAAAAAAAAAAATAAAAATGATCAAACAGATACAACAGGAATGGAGAATTACAGACATCAACAGTTAAACTATATAACTTCTAACGAAGTATAACGGAATGCACTTGGAACAATACATCAAATTGTAGCAAATCATCATGCAACATATCAATTCTCCAATAATTTATGCATAATAAATATATTAAATTTGTATTCAACATTGTGGTTGAATCACAAAGGCTTATTAGCTATCCACCTAGTGAACATGGCGTAACCTTCATCGGGCTTGTACTCTGGAGCTGTGTGTCCTGAACCCTGTAATTAATTTCAATATTATTAAATTTGGACAACTTAAAACGTTAAATAATCCACCACATCATATAATTTCCTTAAAAAGAATAGAAAAAAAAGTGAGTATAATATCTAAATTGAATGTTCTTATCTTACTTTCACTGTTGCAAATGTCATTTGATTAGAGTATGTCCTTGTATATCTGCATAGAATACAAATTATTCATAAATATTTAGACAGATGATATCTTAGGATGCTCTTGATACGAAAAGTAAAACCTAAATTATCTTCTAGAAGACTAATGTTTCATTCTCACCCTGCAACTTGATCTTCTAAAAGCCATGGCCTCCAATCTTCTACAATGGAGTAGTTCAGAGCTCTAATCCATGCTTGAGTCGATATGAAAGGAACAACTGCATCATGGTCTCCACTATCAACAAAACACCAATTTTCATTAAAAAATGAATTTGTTGTAATATCCTTAGAAACTTAAAAAAGAAAAAACACTTAGACATATGGAAAATATAATTTTGAATAAAATAAAATCTTAGATATGAAACTCTTTACCTATATATCAAAGAACGATATCCTTTAACACTGAGATTTAAGTGAAACTCAAAACTATTAGAGATCTCATACTCAAAATCACTCGTGTAACAACGACTCCACTTGTCTTTAGTTCCCTGCATTACATTTATCAAGTTACATGTAAAGTTTTAGTATGTTCAGAGTTAATTTTAGTGTTTTTTAGGTAATTTTAATTTTTATAATATAATCCATTAAATGATGATGTTGAAGATGAAATATCCCCTCATCACATGTGATGCAACATGCTATGATGAGATAACATTTCTATTGTTGTATCATTATTTACCGCATAGACACAACACCAATATATAGTAGTTTAAAAATAAAATAAAATAAAAATATGGTGACCAAAACTAATAAAATAAATATATTATTAGGATTATTTACATTTTGATGTCATTTAGAAAGTTACATTATTTGAATCATCATTTTCAATTGTGGTTAGTAATTAATAAAGTAATGAATCAAATGTATATTTTCCTTTTAAAGCATTTTATTTTTTATCTAAAGTAAAAGACGTTTGCATAAAGGAATTAAAATAATTTTTTAACGAAATTATAACTACGTCAATTTTAAATTTTAAAGATAAAAGCAAAAAATTGATCGTGTAGCTGACTAATATATATAAATTAATATGAACAAATTTAAACTATCTCAGTTTTATTTAAAAAATAAATTTATTTTAAACTCGGATACCATCCACAATAAATATGACTTAGGATAATTTAAAAGATTTACTTCTTTATTTTTTAAAATCAAGAACCTTAAATCAAATAAACACTAGTATTCTTCATAAATTTAAAAATTACAAATTATTTACTCTTCAACAATATTTTGGTGGATGAATAACACAATAATTTAAAACAACTATATTATATCAAACGTATTTATTTTCATTTGTTGAATTTTGTATATTTTTAAATTTTGCATATAAACATTAATCCGTCTAATTAAGTAAATAAAGTTAGAAATTCTAAATAAGTAATTTTTCTTTTTAACTATATTATTTATGGGATCAATTTAATATTTCACCTATCATATCATCATTTAACGGTCAGACATTAAAAAAGTTAAGATTTCTTTGGTTCATGACCACGTTTATACGTTTATATATATATATATATATATATATATATATATATATATATATATATATATATATATATATATATATATATATATATATATATATATATATATATATATATTATATCATACCTCTCGAATGTGCAACGATTTACGAACACTTTTATCATTGGCCCATTGAGTGGCAAGGAAAAAACCATATATCTACAATAACAAAATATATTGAAATCAATTTTTGGAATATGATAAAAAAAAAAAGTGAGAATGGATTTATGATAGTAAAGAATTACTTGGCATCTTATGTCTATGTCTACCGTTATGGGATGAGAATTCAGGGATGATGACTTAGACTTTTGGGTCAAAGATCTCCTCCATGTATCTTCATTTATCTTTCGCGAATTATCTTTACAATAGCGATCTAAAATGAAGAATGTATTAATTCCTGAAAGACACTGAAAAAAAAAATTATTATTAAAGTCAATAAACTCAACTTATATAAATAACAAAAGTATAAAAAGGATTTTCACAAAACTATGATGTTCATTACTTACCTCATCGTAGGACTTCATATCTCTTAAACACAATTCATTTCTAGAATCTACGGTTATATATTCCTCTTTACAATTTTTCTTCAGTGACTGTCCATAAATAATAGATGAGTAAGAATCATTGTCATTTCTTTTTAATTTTTTTTAAATGAATTGTACAATAAATTGTTGATTATACTCCAATAAATTATAAACATTTTCATAAAAAGGTTAACTACGATACGATACATAAACAACTGGGCAAACTTTACCAAAACTTATAATACAAGTAAAACATTATTAAACATAAAAAAAACATTATTGTTACCGCATAAAGTTCATCAGAAATAAGTCCCATTCCATGAGCAAATGGGATTTGCTCATTTTTTTCTTTTCGTGTTGTTACGGGGTTTCCTAGTAGATATCCCTGAAAATATCTTTAAGATCAATTTAGACTTTAGAGTAGATAAAATAAATTGATAACATTACAATTGCGAGAAGTAAAAAAAAAAACTTGTTTCAACCATTTGAAGTATTGAAAATTGAAATCATGGATCAAAACTCATTCTTTAAAATTCAGATAAATTGATTGCAAACCTGGAGATTTATAATTGGTTGGAGACCTATTTCATTTCCTGTTAATCAAGGAAATTGAAGAATAATTGTAAGCTTTATGATAAATATGTGTCTGCATGTAAAGCTTTTTATATTAGTTAAATGTAATAAAGTTGTACTTTGTATAATAATCTTGTAAAAAAACTGTCCTTAGATTGTAAAATAAATCTAACAGTTTTGAACACTAAATATAGCTTAGAGGATGTGAAAAGAAATCAGATTTTCAAAATTGATAACTAAGTTCAAAAACTAATATGTTAATTACTTCATAAAGTTTAATTGAGTAATCGATTAATCTTACATATTAAGCAGTTTTTCATACCCTTTGAAATTTCTTGAACAATGGCAGGGGCAGGTATGCCAGAATATGAATCAGCTCCCATGTAAAATGCATTCGAAATAAATTCTGGGTGATCGATCAGCCACTACAAAGATTAACATTAGAAGATAATCGTAGTTGAGGAAAAAAAGAATGATAAAAATTATGACAGCTTGTTTTTAGAATGCTATGGAGAAGGAGAGCTATAAACAGAAAGAAAGAGAAAGAGGAAAAGTGTCTGTTTGCAATAAGTGTACCTTCCTAAGAAATTGATGGGTATGGTGAACTAATTTCCAGTCACTCCTGTGAGCGGTGACATTTTTGGCATATGAGAAACCAGATCCTAAGGGCAAATCTACGAAAATAATGCTAGATGCCTGTCAAAAGAAAACATTGAAATGAATCATTTAGCAAGAACAAGAACAAAAGTAATTGTTAATTTTATAAATTTAACTTTGCCAAATGAAATGAAGATCAAATGGTTGAGGATGCGTAATGAAATCTATACCTTTGTCCAGGACTGTGGCCTCAAGATCAAATTTGGCAAGCTCCCATTGTACTCTTCAATCTTGAATGCAAGAGGACCTATTTATATTCAATTGCCTCAATTTTTTTTTAGTGAAATTAATTTTGTAATACACTCCGCATCACATCGTTTCAATGTATCTAAATGGAAATAGAGGTTAAGTCTGAGCAACTACAGATTTCTACATTTGTTTTCTATCTTCCAAAGTGGTTTAGTAAAATCTATTGGCCAAAACCGCTTTTTTGACTAAACACGTTTTGTGTACAGATTGTGCAATACAATCAATCTATACAGGAGTTTACAATCCAAGTCCAGTGTTGTTATTATAGGAATTGACATAGAAAGTTTGCATATCAAAATTACCGATTTGAAAAGCAAGACCCGAAAATGAAGAGCAACCAGGACCTCCAGTAAGCCAAAGCATAAGAGGGTCTTTTGCAGGGTCATTCTCTGACTTGATAAAGTAGTAAAACACTTGCATATCATCATCTGTTTCTCCCAATCCTACATACCTGTTGTTGCTTCATGCCTTTAACTTAAAGTTCATTGAATAAAGTGGAAATCAGAAAAGGGAAAGTGGTGTTGCTTACCCTGTTTCCAGTTCAAAAGGAAGAGGCCCTTCAAACCCAGGAAGCACTTCTACCTTTGAACCAACCTGAGATGATATGCGCACAAAAAAGGCAAAAACAATCACAAAAATAGGGTAAGAATTGAAAGACATAATAGACATCCTACTCATTTTGGAAGATGAAGATTTTTGTTGGGTTTAGAAGGAGCCAATGTGATCTTAGACAAAAGAAGTGTTCTTTTTATATTTTAGAGGTACGTAAGCCACACGTTCTATTAAACAAATGTTTCGACGTTAACGTCAGAACTTATCAAATTTATTTTTGAGACAAAAATGCTTTTATCTACAAATTATTGACTTTAATTCATTTTATAAAATTCAGTTGTTGAAAATTATGATTATAACTTAATAGTTTTTTGTTTTTATTTTTCTAATTTCATGAAATTATTAATTTATTGCTAATTTGTTTTTTCTTTTAAAATAAATTTATTTTTTATTTAATTTATTAAAGTTATTAATAAAAAATATAACAAGTTGATGTACTACTTATACATATAATATATTTATATTGTTATAATATATTATTGTTAATATGTTAATTATATTTATCAAATATATATATTAGTGTTAAAATTTATTTTCTTTTTATTGTTTTTAAATATTAGAGTTCCGGAGGTATATTTCTTCATTCTGATCTGTTCAAATTGTCAATCAGAGATTTGGTTTGGGAGAAAGCAGTTTTGCATCAACAACTCTGTTTTGGGAATTTTTTATCTTCTTGCTTCTTATTTGTTTCATTTGTGTTTGGTTTATTTGCATGATTGTAAATGTTAGATATTGTTTAGATATTATTTGATATTGTTAAGATATTGTTAACCACAATATCAAACAATATCTCTTATTTATTCTGTTACTTTCAGTTACTCTTTTAGTTGTATCTCTCTATTATAAATAGACTACCCTATGTGTGATTTATACGTAAGGGAGATTAATCTCAAACTCTATTTCTTTTATATTCAACATGGTATCTAGAGCTTAAGGTTATTTTGAAATTTTTTTTTCCGCCTTTGACCACTATTGAAGCCGCCACCATCGCCGCTATCGCTGTCGGTTATTTGGTAGTGTGAAAGTGCATGTCTAGGAAAGTTCTGACAAGGAAAGACTTGATATTTATGCGTGTCCATTAGTGACCCACCTCTCTTTACTGGGAACTTACTTGGTGTACTGGTTCACGCCGCTGTCACTATCGCCTCTGCCCTTTATGACTTCTTCCGCTCCTTTTAGTACTTCCAATTCTGTCAGTACTGCGTCTGATCCTTCCATCTACACTAACTATGTTAATGTGCACTTATCCATTGACAAGTTAACTGACCCTAATTATGCCACATGGTCATCAGACGTCAGATTATCACTTAAGAGTCAGAAGTAACTTGATTTAACAATATCTAACAATATCTTAACAATATCAAATAATATCTAAACAATATCTAACAGTAAACACCATTTGATGCAATTATTTGAGACTCTTTTGTACCCTATTATTGATCATAATGGTTTTTTTGTCTGGATGACTCGTGGTTTTTACCCTTGCATTGAGGGGTTTTCCACGTTACAATTATTGTGTCTCTTTGTGCCTTCACTTTCTAGTTTGCTTTATTTTATTGGTACTCCTCGCAGATTCTCTCAAGTAGGGGTAATATCATCCTCTCAGTAATCATATGTATATAACAATGAATGTGGTTTTCCAAAAAGACATAACTTATTTTCCTTCGAGTCTAATTTTCAAAAAGGGAACCAACAAGAAATCTAGGAAATCTAAACTCTAAGGCATAATATGGATCTAAATGATGAAATTTTATATATCCTTAAGGATGTGAAGCACAAGGATCATAACAAGAATCTTATATAGATGACATTGAAGCTCCACATGAATCTCTTGCTGGAGATAACATGAAACTCAACATGACTCTCGTGTTAGAGAGAACATTGAAACCTCACATAAACCTTTTAGAATAGATAATATTGAAACACAACATGAACATCTTAATGAAGATGTCACTAATAATTTGTTAGCTATAAACTAATTGTCTCACTAGATGTATTCTTAAACTTACTTACAAATCAAAACTCTTTAGTAAAGTAAAATATGCTATGAGTCAATATTTATCTAATCATAGACTTAAAAATATAAATAAAATATTTATGAATAAATTATATGCTATAATTATTCTTAATCATTTGCATGAAACTTTAGTTAATCCAAAATGGAAGGTTGCTATGAATGAGAAGATAAAATCATTTCAAAAGAATTATATTTGAATTCTTGTTGATTATCTACTAGAAAAGAAACAAGTAAGATGTTAGTATATTTATACCATTAAACACAAAACATATGAGATAACAAAATAATTTAGAGCAAGACTTAAGACAAAATAATATACCCAAACATATGGAGTTGATTATACGAAGATATTTACTTTTGTAGCAAAATTTAACATTATTTGAGTATTATTATCTTTGCCAGTAAATTTGGATTGACTATTAAAACAAATTGATATAAATATTTGTATTTTAAGTGGGGAATTCATTGAAGAAATGTACACGAGACTCCCACTGGATTTCATGGTACCCGAAAAACACAGTAAAACAAGTATGTAAATTAAAAAAATATGGGTTGAAATAATCCCCATGAGTATGGTTTGCAAGGTTTGTAAAATCTATGACAACATTTAAATACCATCCGTAATTCAAATCATACTTTAGTTTTTAAGAAAAAAAGAATTTGAGATTACTGCACTTATTGTATATGTAGATGATATAATTGTTCCAGGAAAAGATCCAGAAGAAAGTAAAGTGTTACATGAATATTTATCAAAGGAGTTTAAAATGAAGGATCTTGATCCCTTGAAATATTTTCCAGTGGTTGAAGTATCTAGGTCTAAGAAAGGATTTATTTTTGTCTCAAAGAAAATATGTCTTAGACCTGTTACAAAAAATATGTATTTCAATTGTTAGCCAAAGAATACATCAATAAAGGAAGGTTTGAAGTTATCTAATGTATCTGATCAAGCTCCAATTGATAAACAAAGATATCAAGGAATTGTAGGGAGATTGATATACTTAAGTTAACGCATACAAGACCATATATTGCCTACACATTAAGTATTGTCAACCAATTTATGCATAATCCTAGAGAACAATATATGAACGCTTACGTTTTAAGATATTTAAAGCTAACACCTAAAAAAGGATTAATATGTACCAAAAATACAAATTATCAACAAATAAATGTATATGTTGATGTTGAATAGGTTAGATAATTGGAAGATAGATTATCAAAATCGAAGTTATTTTATATTTATTTGTAGTAATCTTGTTAAATGAAGAAATAAAAAATAAAATGTGGTCTTTCACTCAAGTACAAATGTCATGAATTTGATATAAAAAATAGAAATTGATATAAATGTCATGAATTTGAGAATCTAGATAAATATATATCTTAATGTTCTTAGAAATATACAATCTTTGTGGACCAATTCCCTTAACTCTTATTAATGTATATGTAATTATAGACTTAAAGCACTTATGGGAAAAATAATGTTAGTTCATTGAAAAGTGAACACAAATATTAAGGGTAATATCGAGCCACAATATTATAGTACTACCATGAATAATTGTTCATCACTAGTGAACAATTTGTTCAAGGGTCTTGTAAGTTCTTCCAAGTAGAAGTTAGTTATTACGTACAGGTGATAAAAAAAAAACTATTAGAAGTTAGTTAAACAAACCTTAACTAACATAACTATGAAATAAAAAAGTTACAATGTCGATTGTAATTATAAATCTACTATATATTATTCATTAGATGAGAAATGAGCTTTCGAGTGAAATTAATCTGATTGAACAAATTACACTCATGAAATCAATTACTCCAATTAGACTAACGATTAGATAAATTATACTAATTAGTCTAGCTACTCTTGTTAAATGAGTTGCACTCATTGAATTAGCTATTCCGATAAGATTATATGGACTCATCAAACTAGTTACTCCCATGATAAGTTGCACCCTTTGCAATCTTGGGAAATTCGATCATACAATGACTTTAGGGTATCTAACAACTCCTCTTTAGAAAACTCTCATTAGTTTTTCAAGAAATGATCTTTACTTTGTTTATTAGTAATCAATCTCTTATCTATTCAATGATACTTCTCCTCTTAAGATATTTGGATTCTTCTTCAATCCTTCTTATAAAGTGCAACGTGGTTTCATTTGATAACACCTCTAGGTTGTTTAACATCCGTTCATCCCTTACTTCATAGTTTTTCTTTTTTTTTATGTATTGAATTCTTTTTCCCGTTCTTCTTTAATACATATTAGAAGCATCATACTTGAATTGTTCTTGTCCCATTTACATTATAGTGTCATCATATTTACCTTTCTAAGACTTTTATCTATTGACAACAACTTATATAGAATATAGTAAGTGTTGATTTATAGATGTGATACTAAATAGAAAAAAAAAAGGTTTTCATACATGTTGGTCCCTTTAGTAAAGAGATTTTACCAAAATTATAAATGTAAAGTTATGTATCCATAAACGAAAAATGGTGTACCTTTTTCTTTTGAATCATAACACTAACACTTTTACCTTGTGATTTTGCATGAGTTTGATGTCCCACAAGTTGAGATTGTTAACATGGGGACTAATGACTGTAACTTAAACAAATTTTATTTTTCTTCTTAGTGATAAGCATGTTCTTAGTCTTGCATGAATCTCAAATTTTTTATGGAAGTATTCCTTGGTTGTTGAGATTTAATGTTGGGCTAAGGATTGAATTTATCTTATTAAAATAAAACTTCTCATTAAAAAGGATATGGTCTCAACTATATTGTGATTCCTTTTTGTTAGAGTTCCTTTGTCGCTATACATTAGTCAACGATTTGATTTCTAATTTGAAGTTTGACCTCACATAATTTTTTAAGTATCTCCATGTCCTCTACAATTTTCTTTTTGTGTTTGACACTTTTATATTGTATTATTGCTATTCACATTAGTGAAAACAAATATTTAATAATGATTCATTATGATATTTCTTAATCCATTTTTAGTTAGAAATATGGTGATAATTTTATAATAAAAAATCATAATTATTGGAATTTTAACTAGA